CTTTTAGAGCGTCATCCTAAAAGTTTTTTTTAAAAAGAAGTTTGCATAGTTACTTTTTGCGTTCCTTGTCTTTCTTTGTTTCTTTGTTTCTTCCTTTATAAGATATGAGGTAGATTACGTTTTTGATTTCGTAAGTGATGCTGAGGGAAAGTTTTCTTTTAAAGTGACGGCCGTCTACAAAGTTGGCCACTTTCATGTAAGCACACGTTTTGCGTATATAGGTTTTTGACAAGGATAATTTTGTGGCGGTGAACCTGGGTTTATCGGAGGTGAGGTCGTGGGTGTTACTGCTCCAGTGCGAATGACGAGGTTGCCAAGATTGGGAGGCTGTCGAAGTGCAATCAGAGAGGGGTCGGGGAAACATGATTTCATTTTGTCTGATTTTTCCAAGATGCTTTTGTGTTCGCTGTGGATTGTCAATATTGTCATGTACATTAGGTAGTTTTTGGTTATGAGTTGTGACGAAAAATGGTCTTTTCTGTTGAGCTTAAGGGGTTTGTGCGGTTCAATTTGCTGACTTTCTCGATAATGAGTGTTATACATTTTTTGCGGCACCCACAGTGAAGAAGGTTGGCTGTGAATTCCTCTATCCGTTGTTTAAAAGAATTTTAACGGGAACAAAAGCGGCGGAGTCTTTTTAGTTTTAGTAGAGGTTTTACGGCGCTCGCAACTGCATCAGGTCATATGAGCGCCAGAAGATTAAAGGTGTTAGAAGAGAGTAACAAACATAAAAAAGAAGTAGGGGAGATACGGACGATAGATGTTTGATAGGAAAGAAAGAAGCAAACCACAACAGAGCACCCGCCAACCGCCCACCTTTTTCAAACCATCCGAAACGTATATTTGCTTCTGCGGCGGAGTCTAAGTGCATCACTATAGACCACAGAACGAAATATATGTTTAGGATGGTTTGAAGAAGGTGGAAAGTAACGATTAGAGTCGGTAGGGTTTGTTTTTTTATAGAGGTCTGTCTCAATTTGGTTATCTGCAATGAGAAGGGACATGTCCAGGAAAGAAGTGGACTTACCTGGGCTGAAATCATCATCATCATCATCATCATCATCATCATCATCATCATCATCATCATCAT